CTCTCTCTCTCCACACAGTTATAGCTCATCCAGTGGTGTAATACTGAACAAGCGATGGATCCTAACGTGTGCTCACGCATTATAGTATGAATTATATTTATTTCACAGAAATATCAGATCATTCAGTTAAATTAGACCCAGTTAGATTTGTGATTACTTGGGAATTATTAAGGTGATAAAATTGTTAGCATAATAAATATCATGAATGTAATTTATAATTTGTAATTTATTAATAATATCATGAATGTCATTTGAAAATAATACAAATTCTATCTATAATTTTAACTTACAATTTAAAATCCATATGAGTTTTGTTTAAATTATTAAATATTGGTTTATAAGATTATTTTTATCTTATTTATTTAAATTAAAATATAAATTTTGACATAAACTAAAAATTTTAATTAATATGTTAAATAATATTATTACAAAACATGTTATCTAATTAATGTAATTAAATATACGCTAAACCTAAACGTTCATATTTATACACCTTAATTAAATTGAACAAACAATGCACTTAAATGTTTAAATTAATGTAATAAAATAAAGCAAATGTATTAATATATTAGTAAACATAATTATTTGAATAAAAGATATAGGTCCGATTCAATTATTAATTATTAGCCTGTTGCATAAGTGTTTATTATTAAGTTATTAAAAATATTCTATAATTAATTATTTGTCTGTTGTCTTGATATTTAAATTATAATATTTTAAATTAGAAATAAAAAATGAATATAAATATTATTTTGTTAAAAGTATTGCCCCGGGAGTTGGTTATGAAAGGGGCCGACTGTCATCTCTATCGCATTGGTCTCGCATTACATAATACGGCAGAAATTCAGAGAAACGTGTTTTTGAACCCAATTTTGCTATTTATATTATCCATTTTACAATTAATTCGCTCGTTAACCATGGTTATTTTGCCCAAACAAACTGACCAATTCTATTTGATAAGCGGTGAGTTTGGTCATTTCATGGGTGTTATGCAACCATGCAACATTGTTTTATCATTCATAATAGCCCAGTACATTATGTCAGTGGTATGTAACTTTTATAATTATAAACGTGGTGTAAACCCCACTGATTTATATGTGTTTCGCGTGATGTCCGGTCGGATTACACCCTATAGTATTGGGTTGAATGACAGACAAATTGTCGCAAAATTACGACAAACATTCAAATGAGTAATACAAACAGCCCTATTGTATGAGAGATGTTTACCGATATTAATTGCCCTTGTTATATTTCCATGTTATGCAACTACACTATCCCTGACTAATATTATTACCTACGGCTTACTCCATACTATCCTATGGGCTATAATCGGTACGTTTAGCATTCAGCCCATTATATGGCAGTTTGTTTACTACTATCTGATCACGTTTTACTTGAACGAGAAACTAAAACTAATTAATGCACAAATAAAGTGCATAATAACTACAACAAAACTACCCGGATCAAGACTTAACGTCAAAATTGATAAAGTATTAAACATGTTAAATTCTTTGCATAAAGAAATCAATGAATATAACGTTAATTATTGGTCAAAATATTTGTTGATTATATGGATTACATTGAGTGGCATTATATTGACCACAAGTTATTTGGCATTTGTGGGCAAATCTACGCTAATCTATAGAATAGGATATTATGTGTTTTTTGCCACTTATTCGCTATTATTACTGCTTATAATCCGTATTTCATCCCAAATCTATACCGAAGCAAATAAATCGTACAAATTATTACATTCATTCAATTGTCACATTTATAGTACCGTTAACTCAACATTAAGTTAAAAGTATGTATAGTGTAAAAATAATTTTATAATCACCTAACTATATAAAGACTAGCTTTACCTAAATAAAAATATTATCTAATAATTGTTTATACAATTACTTGACGTATAGGTATTGAACTTTTGCGAGCGATTGGGCGGACAACGGGTTGGCTTTTATTGTTGGAAATTGTTTATTGTCAATTCATTTAGAGGTTACGAGGTTTGATTGCAATTTAAGCATTTACATTAATTAATTTTATATATTTTATGTCTATTGGAACACCTAGATCATTACGTTCATTGCTGCAATGTTTTTGAAAATATTGGATGAAACCAAGTAGATGAACATTAACTGTAACATGTGATGATGGGCAAATTAATGTAATTTTAATGTTGATGTATTAAATAAATTTTGAAATAAATTTCTTATTAAGTTTGTGTTTTTTAATTAGCAATGTTCATGTTGTTCAAAATAATTAAATTATCATTATTGTTATTTTATGGCCTTCAAATGAATTAAATCAATAATTAATAATTAAAAAACAATAATAATATAATATATTTTACATATAAGATTTTAATTAATGTTTATGGTTACAGTTTAAACTCAATTAGTGCATTGTACTTTTTAATTAGAATGATCCTGCACTTAATGTATTTTATTGTTTAGAAATTTCAATAATATAATATAAATTAATTATGATTAAATTGATGTTTTTACACAATGTCTTTAAAATTATTTAAAACATTAGCCTTAATATCTATTATATAAGGAATAGTGCCTAATATTTATCTTTTTAATCAAACTTATTATAAGTCATGAATAAAAACATTTCTCTAAACAAAATATTGCCCCCGGAGTTGATTATCAAGGGAGCCGACTGTCATCTCTATCGCATTGGTCTTGCATTACATAATACAGCAAACATTCAGAGAAATGTTGTTTTTAAACCCATTATTGTGTTTATTATATCGATATTACAATTATTTCGATGTTTAGTAATAATTGTAATACCCGAACAAAATGACCGGTTTTATACATTATGTGAAGATTTTGGTCATTTTATGGGTATTCGTACACAAACTAACATGGTCATTGGACTCATATTAATCCAGGCACTCATATCGCAAATATGTTTTTATTATAAATATAAAAGTGGTGTAAAACCCATTGATTTACGTGTGTTTTGTATGATGTCCGGCAATATTACACCCATTAGTATAGGTTTGTATGATAAGGAAATTGTTAGGAAATTACATCAAAAATTTGGGAAATATTTATCAATTACATTGTTGTATACCAAATGCATACCTGTCCAATCATTTATAACTACCCTGCTATGTTTTGCAACCAAATTGTCCATCATTGATCTACTTATATACGGTGTGTTACACTCTATAGTATGGGCAATAATTGGTAGTAAATTGTGTGAGATTATGATTTGGCAAGTTGTTTACTTTTATTTACTGACCAATTATCTGACGGTAAAATTGGTGTCAATTAACACCACTATTAAACACATTATACTCAAACAAATTGAAAATAATTTTACAATTGATATGAGAGCTATGTTTGCGAAATCATATATATTGTATAAACTAAACGCTATTTACGCGGAGATTAGTGAATATAATGACAATTATTGGTCGTTATATTTACTTAACATATGATTTACATTGAGTGCCATAATATCGACGACAACTTATTTGGCATTTTTGGGCAAAAGTGAGCCAATCTTTAGGATAGGATTTTTCATTTATTTCATCGGATTTTCTCTTTTATTGATACTTATTGTACGTATTTCTTCATTGATTTATATCGAGACAAACAATTCATACCATTTGTTGAATTTAATAATATTCTTGAAATCCAGTGTTCACTTAACAATGTTTAAGCTAAAGGTATAAATATTAATTTACTATAACTTCTAAGTTATTTATTGGTTATATAATTTTTAAGTTATTGGGTTTCATCGAGCGCTTAGCCAAAAAACAAATTGGTTTTTATTGTTGGAAATTATTTATTATAAACACTTTTAGAGGATTTGAAGTATTATATAATCATTAAATATTAAAATTTATACATAATTTTCATATAATAAATATATATTATCTAATATATTGTTTTATTTTTATTGACAGATTATTTCATTTGTAAGCATTTTATACCTAAAGTTATTGGAAATATATTGTCATAAAATATCGTCATAATTGAAATTTTAATTTTATATTGACTAATTGTTTTACTATTTTTGATTTTCAAATTTAATAATATAGTTTATAAATTATAAACTATAATTAACATTATTAACAAATTAATAATTAACAAAATTATAAATTATAATTAACATTATAACAACAAAGTAATTCTATTTATTATTAATAAAATTGAGCCCCAATTTACATATTTCTAATTAATTCGTGTAATTTTTATTTAAAATTTATCTAATCCATTTTTTTAGCATAAGTTATTTGTATATACCGGTATTTATAACAACCAATAGGTATCGCAATTATACGATTTCTATCATGTTTTTTTATGTATTGTTATAAATAAATTTATTTAAACAAATATGCATTATTTTAATATTTATGTATCAATTTTCTATAATGTTTTTTTTATTTATTATGTTATAAATTTTATTTAAATAAATATGCATTATTTTAATATATAGATATAAAACTTATAAATAAATTAATGTGATAATAAGAGAATATGAGTCCACAAAGCTTTATATAGTTTTTTATAATAAAGTATTTATAAAAAATTTAACTTCTAACATTTATATTACTATCTTATGAATATTTTGTTTTATTTGAACAAATTAATTTTGATCATTATTCTTATGCTTCATTAATACATTAACAATTGATATACAGTATATTTATCTACATATAGTTGTAGTTACGGTACAAACACATTATTATTCATTTAATTTAATGGCACAAACCATTGAATTGTTTGCTAAACTATTTCATATATTTGTAGATAATTATTACATTTATTACATTAGATAAATAAACAATTAATTATTAAAAATCATGATCACGTCAAAGTTATATTCATTAACCGTATATAACATAAAATCATAAGTAAAAACACCAGATATTGTATAAAACAAAGTGACAATATTAAACAAATTGTTTGAAAATTTATACCAATTTAACAAATAATGTACAAAAATATAATTCCATCAAAAGTGTTGCCCAAAGAGTTCACTATCGGTAGAGCCGACAGTCATCTCTATGCTATCGGTTTGTCTCCTTATAATGTCGGCAATTATAAGAGATCCCCATTTTTTAATTCAACCATCATATTTATCTCGATGGTATTGCAACTAATACGTTCATTGGCCATGATATTTCTACCTGAGCAAGATGATACTTTCTATCTATACGTGGGTGATTTTTCACATTACATGGGCATTAGGGTACAATGCAATATTTCTATGGCATGTATTGTTAACCAGGCCATTTGCTCGTATGCCATATTAATGCATAATTATATCAACAAAGTAACACCAGTCGATCTGCGTGTGTTTCAAATATTATCAGGGTCGATTAGTCCGAAAAGTATAGGGTTAGAGAATAGGGAACTAATTGGGAAATTATTGGTAACCTTCCGAAAAGTCTTATATTATGCTGAAATTTACTCAAAATTCATACCATTGCAGGGATTTTGCGTAATATTCTTAAGCTTTTTTGCAAAGTTATCGACACGTGATCTAATAATTTACGGTATACCCCATACGATCATCTGGGTTATTTTGACCATCTATAGCTATACGATCATGGTTTGGCAATTTGTCTATTACTCGCTTACTGTATATTATTTGCGGCTAAAATTAAAATCAAATAACACAGAGATAATAGATCTAGCACATGTCGAGTCAAGTTGCACTACCCGCAATAAATTTATCAGTATATTAACTAAATTAAACAATACTTACATTGAGATAAAACAATACAATGATATTTATTGGTCAAAATATTTGTGTTTAATATGGTTTACATTATCGGCAATGATATCGACGACAACTTATTTAGTATTTTTCAGTCAAAATATACTGATCTTCAGAATCGGATATTTTATGTTTTTTGTTTGTTTTTCACTCATTTTATTGATTATAATACAAATATCGTCACAATTGTATAACGAGGCGAATAAAGCGTATTATTTATTGCATTCATTTTATACTCAATTCCCAAATGCTAAAGGGATTTTAATCAAGCTAAAAGTAAGTTAACCTAGAAGATAATTTAATTAATAGTGAAACTTTTATGTTGTATAACATCTCTGATGTCAACTTTATTATGTTATCAACCAAATGGTCTTAAGTTGTTTTGTTGATAGCATTTGATAACAGAGAAGTTTCACTGTATTTACGAATTGTGATGATTTTAGCTAAATATTTAAATAATTTTTTTGACCATCTTAATTGTTAATTAATTATTTATTATTATTATAAATAAAATATTAATATATTTTTCTCAATTAGATAATGAATATAATGGAAAGGATTAGTACAAAAAGAGTGGGATTTTATTGTTGGAAATTATTTATTATAAACACTTTCAGAGGATATGAGGTTTGAGTATTAATATTTGTATTTAACTTTCATTGTATTAAATGTCAAGTAATTGTTACAATTTACAGATAATCACCATGATCATTCTACTATACCTTAAATTACTGGAAATGTAAAACAGCTGATAATTGATTTTAATGCAGTTTATTGGGGCTAATCAAACCATGATTAAAATTGATAAACTAAAAAACTATCAGTTCTTATAAAACATTTTATTATTCATAATTAAAACAAACATTTAAATCATTTTCAATAATAGTGTTAATCGAGTGTTAACTAAAAAATATTTATAAATTCAATTAAATAAACCAAAAATTCTCTAAAATACTTATATTAATAATAAAACATTAAAAACAATTATAATTCAAATTAAACGACAATTCAATTAAACATTAAATATAATTAAATTACAATTTAAAGACATTTAATCACATAAAAACCATTCAATCGATTGGTTAATTGTAAGGCTCTTTAGTGTAGGACTTCTGGACAACAGATCCGACAACTCATTGTCCGAGAGATGAAGGACTAGTTTTTTGAGTGCCTGTAGTCTTGAGATGTGATCCAAACACTCGCCATAAACACTGGTATCACATGTGAAGATCGATAGAGAATGAAGTCGTGGCCAATGGTCCGCACAATTAGCAAAAAAATTAGCATTAATTGGGAGTAAATTTAGTCTCAAATGTGTTAATCGGTGGCAGAGTTTCAACGGTTCCAACACTTCTATATCGATGTTCGCAGCGATTGTTAAACGCAAGCGTTTTAATCGGGAATAAACTTTCAATGAATCCAATGTATGGCCAGTTATGTCACGAGAAGACAATTGAAGTGATAATCGTTTCAATTGTTTGCAGTTTAAGCCAATTATACGTAAAAACTCAGACAATGAGTTCTGACCACTTCTTAGCGCTAAATTGAGTCTCAATTCTCGTAATTGTGGTAATCGTGACAATTGTTCAGACATTTGGATCAAAGTATGGTGACTATCGCTTCCATGAGCTCCTACGCGAAGACATTTGAGGGACTGATTCTGTGCCACAAACTGAGACAACATTTCATTGTTTTCATCGCAATTGCATTTCAACTCAAATTTCTGCAAATTCTTCGCCAATAGATTCCCAGAAGTGGTGTCGAAGACTCGTAGACACTTAAGTGAGACAATCGGTGGCAATAAGTGAGTGATTGTTTGTCCAAAGCGTTAAAACTACTGATTCCGGTTACGAGAGGACCGAACTCTTGGATCCATTTCATGGGATTTGATCGCAAATGACAGTAAATTCGAGACAAATGCCGGCAATTGTCTCGAAATGCTTTCAATACAATGGGTATCATTGAGTCGCATAAATATTTCATTCCTCGACAGTCAAGACTTGAAATGTTTAGACACTTAATGGCAATTCTGGACATCATTTTAGTCACCGATTTCTGTGAATCCAAATTGTATTGAAGCAAAAAATTGTCGTCAATACTAATGTCGACCACACTGTCGAAGATTTTCCTCCGGAACTGTTGGGACACACATTCCAAACGAAATCGATCTTCGAGTGTGAGATAAGACAACAGAAGACCACATAAATCATCGCCGTATCTGTCCATTGAGTCCTTCGTGTATAGTTTTGGCTGAAATTTGAGATAAAAACAAATAAAACTTAATAAACAGTGAATTGTTTGTAAAATACCTGTTGTTTGTTGTCTTCATTGGTGTCATCCGTGGCCTCGAGGGATGTCTTCATTGATATCATGTTTTGTGACATATTTTGTGATCAAATGAAGCGATTGTATGAACAGTTTGTTTCAAATTATATTCAAATTAAAACTCAATCAAAAAACAAAGCAATCGTTTTGAATAACAAACAGTAAATGACTTGAAATAAAATAAAACTTTAAAATATAACGAGTTTTGTCTGTACTGTGAGACAAAAGTATGCGTTTATTCAGTCATTTCCACAATAATTCCATACAAACTGTACTATTATTGTAGTCCTAAAGACTAAACATTCAATTTTATTGTTCAACTATTTTATAGCCAATAAAAAATACAGACAACTCGAGTAATAAATACAGTATTTCATGAACTGGGTGAACTTGGTAAATTTGGCCATTTAGTTCACACAAATCATTAGTTCACACAAATCATTATGAACTAAAAGTATGGTTAATACATAAATGTTGGTTTAATTTACTAATTTTAAGTGCTTTAAGAGAAATTGTCGTAATTTTCTGTTATTTTAATGGTTTATTGAATATAAACAACTTTTTTAAAATATAACGAGTTTTGTCTGTACTGTGAGACAAAAGTATGCGTTTATTCAGTCATTTCCACAATAATTCCATACAAACTGTACTATTATTGTAGTCCTAAAGACTAAACATTCAATTTTATTGTTCAACTATTTTATAGCCAATGAAAAATACAGACAACTCGAGTAAAAAAAAGTTTAATAAATATCACAAATTAATTGTTTTAATTTCTGAATGTATGAAATGTTAAGTAATTGTTACGATTTACCGATCATCACCATGATCATTCTACTATACCTTAAGTTACTGGAAATGTAAAACAGATCATAATTGATTTTAATGCAATCTATTGGGGCTAATCAAACCATGATTAAAATTGATAAACTAAAAAAACTCTCAGTTCACATAAAACATTTTATTATTCATAATTAATACAAACATTTAAATCATTTTCAATAATAGTGTTAAATAAAAACGTATTTATAAATTCAATTAAATAAACAAACAGAAATTATCTAAAATACTTATATTAATAATAAAACATTAAAATTATGTTTAGTTTATCGCGAAATTCATTGATTAAATATTTGTACGCAATTTAAATCACGTTATATGAAAACTTGTGGACAACACATGACACAAATCATTATCCGACAGACTATTCAAGACATAGAAAACCATTTAATGGATCCGTTGATTGTAAGGCTCTTTAGTTTAGGACTTCTCGACAACAGATCATTGAAATCATTGTCCGAGAGATGAGTGGTATGAGGGCTTTGACGGACCAGTTTTTTGAGCGCTGGTAGTCTTGAGATGTGAGACAAACACTCGCGACTCATATAACTTGTAGAGATCGATAGGTAATGAAGTTGTGGCCAATGCTCAGCACAATTAGCAAATAAATTAGCATTAATTGGGTAAAAATTTAGTGTCAAATGCGTTAATCGGTGACAGAGTTTCAACGGTTCCACCACTTCCTCATCGATGGTATGACATAGTGTTAAATTCAATTGTTTTAATTGTCGATAACATCGCAACGAATCCAATGTCTGGCCATTGAATTCTTTGTTTAAATGCAAATTAAGTGCCAATCGTTGCAATTGATTGCAGTTTAAGCCAATTGTACGCAAAGACTCAGACAATGAGTTCTCGCCATTCAGTAGACGTAAATTGAGTCTCAATTCCCGCAATTGTGTTAATCGTGACAATTGGTCCGTCAGTTCGTGAAACCACTCTTCGGTTTGAATTACACCATTGAATGCAAATGTATTGAGAGATTGATTGCCGGCGAAGAACGACACCAATTGTACACTATTTTCGATGACATTGTGTTTCAAAACAAATGCCTTCAAATTTTTCGTTAATAATTGCCCGGAAGTGGTGTCGAAGACATCGGGCAACTGGTAGACACTTAAGTGAGACAATTGGTGGCAATGAGTGAGTGTTTGTTTGTCCGAAGCATTGAAGCCAAAACCACTGATTCCCGTTACCAGAGGACCGAACTCTTGGATCCATTTCATGGGATTTGATAGCAATTGACAGTAAATTTCCCGCAAATGTTGGCAATTGTCTCGAAATATGGCCAACACTTCGTGAAAGTGTCTGTCATTCCTTATTCCTCGGCAGTCAATGGTCTGAATGTTTGCCAACTTTACTGCAATTGTTGTCAACATTTGAATATTAAATGAAAATCCGGTCGACTTTTGCCACATAAGTCTGTCGTCAATCTTCATGTCGACAACACTCTCGAAGACTGTCCTCTGGAACTGTTTGGACACACATTCCAGTCGGAACCGGTCTTCGAGTAAGAGATAAGATAATATTAATCCAAATAAGTCGTCACCGAATCGATCCATTGAGTCCTTCGCATAGAGTTTTGGCTGAAATGTGAGATAAAAACAATTAAAACTCAATAATCAGTCAATTGTTTGTGAAATACCTTTTGTTTGTTGTCTTCATTGCCGTCATCTCTGTTGACGAGTGATGTCTTCATTGATCTAATGTTTTGTGACATATTTTGTGGTCAAATGAAACGATTGTATAAATAGTTTGTTTCAAATTATATTTAAATAAAAAAATTCTTTTCAATTTAAAACTCAATCAAAAAACAAAGCAATCATTTGAAAGACAAACAGTAAATGACTTGAAATAAAATAAAACTTTAAAACTATAACGAGTTTGTCTGTACTGTGAGAGAGATGTAAGCGTTTATTCTTATCATTTCCACAATAATTCCATACAAACTGTACTATTATTGTAGTCCTAAAGACTAAACATTCAATTTTATTGTTCAACTATTTTATAGCCAATGAAAAATACAAACAACTCGAGTAATAAATATCACTAATTAATGTTTTAATTGAATGTATGAAATGTGAGATAAAAGTAATTTCCAGTGTCATTGACCTAGGGATTAAACACATGGTCATTATGCGAATCACTATTTAACATGATTATTCAAATCAATTAAAACTATTTATCTTTTTTATTTATCTATTATTAAATCTAATGTTTAAATTAAAAAATTTCCACTATATGTAACATTCATTTCAATTATCGGCATTTTATTTAAAAATTCAATGAATTGAACTAAAATATGATTAAATATCAATACAATTATTAAACAAAATTAAGAAAACTATTGAATGACTTTAATATTTAATAAGACTTTTCATAAAACAATTAAAAAAACGGATTAAATATTAATTTTAAACATTGAAATTCATTACACACTAAAAGTCCTGCGATTCGTATTGTTTTCAATTTTAATAGTCTTTAGTTTAGGACTTTTGGACAACAGATCCTTGAAATCATTGTCTGAGAGATGATTATATTCTTCCGAAGCATTGATTACAAGCATATGAAGCGCTGGCAGTCTTGAGATCCGATCCAAACACTCGATGTCTATCGTGTGCTTCGGGTCCCAAACTGAGAGGTATTTAAGACGCGGCCAATGATTGTCACAATTTTCCAGCAATTTGTCATTCATTTGCTTCAATTCAAGTGTTAAATGTGTTAATCGGTGGCAGAGTTTCAACGGTTCCAACACTTCTATACCGATGTTCGCAGTGATTGTTAAACGCAAGCGTTTTAGTCGGGAATAAACTTTCAATGAATCCAATGTATGGCCACTTATGTCACGCGAATACAATTGAAGTGATAATCGTTTCAATTGTTTGCAGTTTAAGCCAATTGTACGCAAAAACTCAGACAATGAGTTCTGACCACTCGTTAGCACTAAATTGAGTCTCAATTCCCGTAATTGTCTTAAACGAGACAATTGTTCAGACATTTGGATCAAAGTCTCGTGACTATCGTACGCATCGGTTCCTACGCGAAGACTTTTGAGGCACTGATTGTGTGCCACAAATGCAGACAACAGTTCATTGTTTTCATCGCAATTGTATCTCAACTCAAATTTATGCAAATTCTTCGCCAATAGTTGTCCGGAAGTGGTGTCGAAGACATCGGACAACTCGTAGACACTTAAGTGAGACAATCGGTGGCAATGAGTGAGTGATTGTCTCTCAATCCCGAGTGGAATCCCTTCAGTGATTCGCGTGACAAGTGATCCATAAGTAGACAACCAGTGATCACTCGTTGGCCTTATTTTACAGTAAATGTCACGCAATTGGTCTCCGAAAGCGTCGATCACTTCGGGAATGTGTTCTTCGCATAAAGACATTCCTCGACAGTCGAGGCGTCCAATGTTTGGACACTTTATGGCAATTGTTTCCATCGTTTCAGTGATTGTTGTGTCTGTGGTTTGTATTTGTTTTATGAGTCGGTCATTGATTATCAACTCCACAACACTGACGAAGACTGTCCTCTGAAACTGTTTGGACACACATTCGCATCGAAACCGATCTTCAAATGGGAGATAAAACAACAATTCTTCCCACAAGTCGTCACCGAATCGATCCAAAGAGTCTTTTGCGTGAATTTGTGTCTAAAATGTTGAACAAAAACAATGAAAACTCAATAATAAGTCAATTGTTAGTCAAATACCTGTTGTCTGTCTTCACAGCCATCTGTGGTCTCGAGTGATGCCATCATTTGTGTCAANTGCGTGAATTTGTGTCTAAAATGTTGAACAAAAACAATGAAAACTCAATAATAAGTCAATTGTTAGTCAAATACCTGTTGTCTGTCTTCACAGCCATCTGTGGTCTCGAGTGATGCCATCATTTGTGTCAACTGTTGTGCCATATCTTGGGATCAAATGATTGAACGAAACGTTTGATTGAAATCTCAATCAAATGTCAATCACTTTTGATGTGAACATGAATTACGTCTCGAATATAAACTTGACTTATATTTGTATTTTGTATGACTTGTTATGTAATGATTGCATAACTTGTATAATATTAACGACAGGTTTGGCCGGCAATAGCACAGCCGAGCCCTGCAATTATAGGTAGATTTAAATACAGTATTAAACACATGGTTTTATTATAAATTACATTTTATTGTTCAACGTTTATATAGTGAATAACAAGTGGATCAGGTTTGTGGTGATTGACCATGGTGAAATGCTTATTTCACGTGCATTTACCATAATTATATTTGATTATATATTATTGCTTTAACTTAAGCTGAAATAGGCATAATTACATAGAAATTAATAGTTATTAAGGTATCAAAAATCACAAAAATAAAGCATAGTGATAAAAATAAATTATGTATTTAATATTTTCACAAAAATAAATTAACTAACAACTACTAGAATTGTGAATCACATCTACCAGGGCACTTTAATGATTATGCTGATTACGATTTACTAAATGACATTTAAAATCAAGCTAACATTAAATTTACATGATTTACCGTCATTAACATAAATATCATTTTCATAGATTAAATATAATACATTGTGTAATTAAAGTATTTGTAGCGAATATAATGTATTAATTAAAATATAATGCATAAATTCTATGAATTCTAAATTATTGATGACATTAATGAATACAATTATATTTATTGGTCTAAATATTTGCTAATAATTTGGTTTACATTGAGATGTCTTAGTGAAGCAAATTGAGCTGAGAGTGGTTATCCTATTAACTTATGGTTAAATAAATTGTGATTTAATTGTCAATATAAACCATGATGTCTAAGAGGCAATATTTTTTAAAAAACTAAAAATAGTGTAAATATAATGGTGTAACTTAATAGGTAAAATAGAGTTATAATTTATTAACTATAACTTATAAATTAAAAATACTGCCATTCTTGTCCGCATTATTTCCTACATAATGGCACTAATATTATTGCAATGAACACTAATTGACTACATTCATTATTAAGTGTTTTTATTTATTGAAATGTAATAAAATAATTTTATTCTATTATTACGTTTGTTATTACATATTTGCACATTAAATGCCACATTAATTAGCATTAATTGTCACTTTTAGTACAATTTTGTACATTGTTCAACTACATTAAAGCTAACGTTATAAAAAAATTAATGCGATCTTTATAACATGATTATAAGATGGTGATAAAAAATATGATTACACATTACTTATGATAAATATTACAATTGTTATTTAAAATTACAAATAATTATATTTAGACACAATGGAACTAATATTATAGTAATGAACACTAATTTACTACATTAATTATTAAGTGTTTTTATTTAATAAAATATGACAAGTAGTTTTATTTTATTTTTACTTTATTTATTACATATCTGCACATTAAATGTAACGATAATTAACATTGTAAGTTTAGTATAAAATGATAAAAAATATATAATACCATAATACTTGTAATTGTTATTATTGAAATATTCAATTAATTATATATGAACTTCACTTCACTATCAAACATCACATTTTAAATATGATTAAAAATATAGACCCGTCCCAAGTGTTGTCCATCGAGTTAACTATCGGGGGCGCCGGTACTCATCTCTATGCTATAGGTTTGTCCCCCTATAATATCGGTAACACTAGGAGACCGATACTTTTTCATCCAACCCTAGTGTTTATTGTAATGGTATTACAATTAATACGCTCATTGGCCATGATATTTCTAACCGAGCATAATGATAAGTTTTATTTATACGTGGGTGATTTTTCACACTGGATGGGAATTAGGGTACAATGTAATATAGTTGTGGCCTTTATTATCAACCAGGCCATTTGCTCGTATACACTATTATTGTATAACTATTATAATAACGTAACACCAATCGATCTGCGTGTGTTTCAAATGTTATCAGGGTTGATTAGTCCGAAAAGTATAGGTTTGGAGGATAAGAAAATGATTGAGAAATTACTGGAAACTTTCCGGAAAACATTATATTATGCAGAAATATACTCAAAATTCATACCCTTTCAAACATTTTGCGCTGTATTTTTAAGCTTTTACGCAAAGTTATCGACACATGACCTTATTGTCTACGGTATACCCCATACTATCATTTGGATGTTTGTGGGCACCTATAGCTATACCATAATGTTCTGGCAATTTGTTTATTACTGCCTAATTGTATATTACCTGAGACTTAAATTAAAAGTGAGTAATACAGAAATAAATGAGCTAGCAAAACTCGAGTCTCGATCAATTAACCGTCATAAACATTTAATTTATAATAAAACTACACGAATATTAAAAAATTTAAATAAAATATATATTGAGATAAAACAATACAATGATATTTATTGGTCAAAGTATTTGTGTTTAATATGGTTTACATTATCGGCAATGATATCGACGACAACTTATTTAGTATTTTTTAGTCAAAATATAATAATTTTCAGAATCGGATATTTCATGTTTTTTGTCTGTTTTTCACTCATTTTATTGATTATAATACAAATATCGTCGCAATTGTATAACGAGGCGAATAGAGCGTATTATTTGTTGTATTTATTTTATGGTCATTTACTCAATTACTGTTATTGTAATTACATGATTATAATTAAACTCAAAGTAAGTTATACTTAACAATTTCATTGTTGATTCTAACATTATTCTAAATTAATAATTAATTAAATCAATAACTTATATTAACTTTCTTAACCATGTTTTTCTCACCCAAAAATAACAACCTTTAATAAATAATATTTGTGAAAGTCCCCTATACTCCAGACTTAAAAACTGTGTAATTTACAATGTTAATTTAACTTTTATATATTACATTTCCAGATAATTATCATGATTATAATACTTTATTTAAAACTTCTTGAAATGTATTGATTAATATTATTAACCCAATATTAATGCAATTATAATCTACTTTAACCACCGCTTCCCAGTGCGGGTAAATGAGGGCAAAGCCTACCTTTTGGGAAGTCCTGACTTTAAGACACTAACAATTAATAAAAGAATATTTTAATTTATAAATTAATATTATGAATTATTACTTAAACTATATCGAAGTTACATTTACATAGTGAACTAATTAAATATCGTC